CACAAGCACACACACACACACACACACACACACACACACACACACACACACACACGCACACACGACCACACACACACACACACACACACACACACACACACACACACACACACACACACACACACACACACACACACACACATACACACACACACACACACACACACACACACACACACACACACACACACACACACACACACACACACACACACACACACACACACACACACACACACACACACACACACACACACACACACACACACACACACACACACAACACAACACACAATAGAAACACACAAAGATCAGACGATTTAAAAGCCACACGTATATATATCTACGTTTATTTTCAGCCACATGAAAGGAAGGTTTAATCACATCATATTTACCAAGAACACGTACTGTGCTTGTCACTCTTAGACACATATCACTTCCCCATCGCCCTTTCGAGAAGAAACATTCCCTCTCCACCAAAAGCCCGTCCTGGATACGAGACAAATTACAGCACAATCACTATTCTTGAATTAATGAGAGTCAAGTTAATTTGGAAATCGTTATTATCATAATTTAATTTCTCGAATTAGCGAAGTCTCCCCGTTGAGAAGAACTTTCCCCTCCCACCTAAAACCCGTCCTGGATGCGTGACTAATTATAGCACAATCACTATTCCTGAATCAATATAAGCCAAGTAATTAGGAAATTGTTATTATCACAAAATCGTTATCGTCACAATCTAACGTCAAAATTAGCAAAGTGTCCCCTCGGCCCTCCGCACAGAAAACGGGAAGGCGAACCATGGCGGCTTACAAAGCGAGGTAAACAAAGTCCATCTTCCTCCTCCTCTCTCTCCCTTATTTCACCCCTTCCTGAAGCCCAAATCACCCCATCCACCCGACGCAGCAGCGCCTTTACTCAACGCCGTCCCTTTCCGACAGGTTGCAGGAGTTTGACAGGATCCTGAGCCAAGATGTGGTAGACCTAAAAGCGCTCCGGAGGTTGTGTTTCACTGGTAAGGGAAAAGGGTCTCTGGAGGGGGCGTTTTTCGAGTGAAAATTCAGGCTGGAAACGGTTATTTGGGGGTTTTAGGGGGTTCTGTGGGGCTAGAAAGGGGTATTCGGCGATTCCGGGGGGTTCTGAGACTTATTAATGGATTTCTGTGGGGTTCTGGGGCTTATTTATGGGAGGTTGGAAGGGGGGAGTGTTGTGTTTCTTGTGTTGGGACTTCTCTAGGAAACTTATTATTTCTTAGTTAATGATAGCCAATTTTTGGGGGGATATTATTAATATTGAAAAAAGAAATTGGAGGGATTTATCAGGTTTTGGGGAAATTGTGCAGTGTTTATTTTGGTGAATTGTTGATAATTTCTTTTCAAAAATATTTATATTTGTATTTTTGTGATTTATACATTGTAGTTTAACATTTAAGTAGTATATTTTTTGTTTATATATGATGTGAAAATAAAACAATTCTATGAAGGTGAACTGATATTAATATCATACATTGCAGGTATTGCAATATGGTGCAACAGTGTACTAAATTGGTGTAAATATATGTTTGTATTTTTATCTAATTTTAGGTTATTTCTTGTTGTCAGTGAAATTAAGTAATGTATATCCATTTTTTTGTTTTTGTTTTACATATATAATTTCTTTTGAACTTTCATGTCATATCTTTTCTGAATCTGTTTATAATTTTGTTCTTGAAAAACAGATATTAAATCAAGTTACTGGGGAATGAAGAAGCTTTATTATTATTAGTTTATTTTTTCTTATGCATTTATATATAGGCCTATATACTCAATAAATACTTGTCTCATGTGAACGTGGCATATGTATGAATGTATTTATATATTTTTTCTCTTTCACAAATAAGTAATATAATGTAAGTATGTAATAATATGGAATAAGTATTTACGAGTCCCAGATTTTGAAAAAAGAAAAGAAAAAAATAAAAAAATCTGTACATTCTGCAGGAGCCCCAGAGGAAGGTGGAAGACGAGCCTTGTGCTGGAAGCTATTGCTGAATTACCTGCCGTTAGATACCAACCAGTGGGATGAAACTCTGCGCAAGAAGAGAGCGCAATACCAGCATTTTGTGGGTGAGTATGAAGGACATTGATTCATTATATTTTTTGCATGTTTGATTTTGTTTATGCAAGGAATGGTAATTGAATGTATGGTTAATGAACATATGTTGTAGGTGTTTGATTATGTTTTATTATTTTTGGTAAATTCGAAAATGTCCTTTGGATGTATGGTATGGTGATGAATTAAAGGTTATTATAGATGTATTGTTAAATGTTTACACAGACCATGATGTAATTGCGTCTTTTTATTTTTTGGATAATGCTTATAGGTGAAGAATATAATCTGAAAACTATGGCATTCCTTGGCATTTATGACAGAGAGTAAGCATGGAATATATCCTACTTGTTAACTTCTCTGTCATGGATTTGTTCCAAGGTGTTAGAGAGGAGTTAATACATGCCTTGGAATTATTTGATTGCAGAGGAGATGGTGGTGGAACCGGCCAGACTGAGCAAGAATGGCAGTGGCAACAACCACGTGGACGACCATCCACTGAATCCCAACCCAGATTCTCAGTGGGGGTCGTTCTTCAAGGACAACGAGGTCTTGGCACAAATAGACAAAGATGTCAGGTAGGAGGGTCATCTTAGATTTTTTCATGTTGTGTGAGGTGATTTCCGTTTTTGATAATTTTTATATAGTTTGTTTCTACTGGTATTATTATTGTTGCTCAGTGGATTGAAAGAAGTATTGAAGAAAAAGAAATGTAATTTTGAATAAAAAGAAAATGTAAATCACTGTAGACAACATTCTGGTAAATATATTCAAAATTATGAAAGATGCTTAATTTTGGATATATCTGTGAAATGTACTCCGAGATACCCATTTTACCGCTATCATATGTTCTCATTGCAGACGACTCTGTCCAGACATCATGTTCTTTCAGCGTGGGACAAACTACCCTTGCAGACTGATTGTCGATGACCAAGACGTGGAGAGACTGAGTCATCGTGTCACTCACTCTTCCCTCACGGCATCATCGGTTACAAGAAAGGGACTAGGGATCACAAAGGTAGGACTCTGTATAGATAGATAGATAGATTGAATAGATAAATAGATATATGAATAGACTGATAAATAGATATTGATATAGATATGATATTCACTAATGCATAGACATAAATATCCAGATACACACCCATATTCCCTCATGTATAGACATGTATACACAGTCCCCACCATTTAAATGTTTACACCTTAACATGCGCATGCCTTCAGACTATGAAATCGACTTAAGATTTTTCGTAGTAGTACCAGATGACAACAATTCAGCTTTATCAGCTTGAGCTTCTCATTAATGGAATATGCAAGCTTCTTCTACAGGGCAAATACAGTGGACTGCTAGGTCCAGTGTGTGATGCTTTAATTAATCATGAAATAGGATGAATGCTTACTCTTGATTTGAAAACTGTAACACTGTATATAGACTTACAGCATCACATACAGTATTACATGTAATACTACATGATAATTTAAAAAGGAAATACACAATTTTGTTGAAACTATATAGAAATTAAAATACATACGTATCGTTAACTGCATTAGTATTATTAGTGAGATTTTAAATTTTATCACCACTAATACCATTGTTCTAATAATTGTTAGGATGATTTTAATCTTTCCTCTCAACAGATGGAATCAGTAAGCCGTCGCTCAACCACAACAGAGGACTACCATCCACTCTCACCTGGATCTGAAGCACACTGGGAAGTTGTAGAACGGATTTTGTTCATATACGCAAAGCTCAATCCAGGGCAGTCGTATGTGCAGGGGATGAACGAAATTATTGGGCCCATTTACTACACATTTGCGAGTGATCCCAATGAAGCCTTTAGAGGTAAGGTGGAAATACTTTTTTATGTATTTTTTTTTACATTTACATATTTCTTTTGATTTGCTTGGTTTGATGTATTTTTGAGCACTTTGGAATTATTTTTATTCATATATTATGTAATTATGAAGGCCTTTTGTTGTTTATCAAGAAGTAATAGTACATGGAAATATTGTTAATGTTGTTATCCGATTCAGCGACATAAGTAGGCAGAATAGAATGATAAAGTTAAAGGAAACTATGTAGAAAGTGGGTTTGATATTCCCCAACATAGGCAGTTTCACCATAGTGCATTTTTGAGGGCTGGGATAGTAAAAGGACTCCCAGTAATGAAACATCATTGCTAGTGAAAGAAGTTTTGAATTTGTATGTCTAAAAATTATTATTTCATGACTCAGTTGTTAATTTCTCAGTATAAGTACAGTATAGTGTGTTAGAATCCACTTTTCCATAAATATTTGTCAGGTTTTGTCATGTAATCTTGTAAGAAATTGGCAGTTGGGTTTGGATTTAGATACAGGTTTGTTTTGCAATACAGTGGTTTTATTATTTAATTTTATTATTGGTGTACATATTTTTAAGCCTGTAAGGTGTGGTTCTTTTATTTACTGGTTGAGATTTTGGCGTATGTGTATGTTTTGGTCTTTATATTGTTTAATTATTTATGTGATTAAGTATAATGATAACTGGTATGTTGAGCAAATGGTTCATAAAGACATGCATTTTTCTGAATCAGAAATTATATGTTATAGATAAAGTGCTGTCTTTTATCAGACAAATAATATTCATATTTCTGTATTTGCTTGTATTTTCAGTTATCCACTAGTGTACCTAATCAGTTGTCTCTAATACAATACAATAATTATTACAGGGCTAAATGTATTGTCAGAGCAGAAGGAATTACAAGTTGTCTCCTCTGTCTTTAGGAGAAAATTTGTCAATGAGATTCACAAAGGATGGAAGATAGTAGGCCAACTTTGACTTTTATGACTGCAGTATGTGTAAATGGGATCTTCCTTCCTTTCTTAGTTTCTCATAACACTTTATGAAATGAAATAGACAACTGTATTGAAGGATTTCTCTCAGGGATACAACAATGACTAACTTTTTTATAGGAATTTAGCCTCATGAAAGGACAGCAATGGTGATTTTTGTGTTTTGTCTGATTTTTATTCATGAGTAGCCCTCTGACGAGGTGTAAAAACTTTTTGCAGATCAGTCATATTAAATGTAGTGTGTATTCTAATTTTATTTGTAGACTTTTAATATTGCCTTATTTTTCTTTCAAAAGTGGACAAGGATCTTTGTTATGGCGTGTTGTTGACTTATAAGGTGTTTTTATTTTATAGACGATTTTTACATTCATATATATAATTTTATTGACCTATTTTTACCAGATTATATAGGCAGTCATAGTAGTATATCTCTTTTTTGGTAAATAGGTAAATGAAGTGCAAATTAAAGCATAATGCCAAAAACTATATCAAAGTAATATTTTTGATAAGAATAATATCAGGGTTGATGTTCTATAAAGATCCTGACAACCTTCCTTCGAACCTTTCTCCAAAGAAATGGCCGAAGCTGACTGCTTCTGGTGCTTCATCTCATTAATGGGCGAGATCAGGGACTTCTTCATCCGCACACTGGATGAGAGTGAAAGTGGCATTGGGGCTATGATGAACAGGCTAATGGCCAACCTCAGACAGCACGACCACCAACTCTGGGATCGGCTGCGTGTCCAGGAGCTCAAGCCGCAGTTCTTCAGCTTCAGGTAGTTTGATTGAGATCCTGGTTTAGAAAGTTTCTGGGAATTTTTTAAAGGCTTGTGAAAGGATAATGTGGTATAATCCCCTACTTATATAATGTGTTTTTTCTTTGTTTTTTTTTTAAAGATTTATGATGGTAACATGATAGTGTTTTGTTTCTTTATAATGGCATGAAGGTATTTTTAGCCACGATAGTAGAAATTCCTGTCTTAATACTAAAATAGATTGTGAAATATTACCAACTGAGATACATGATAAAACAATATCACTATCACTTTTGATTTTCTTTGAATTATAAAACAATATAGTCAAGCAGTCACTAGATATAACAAAGATCAGTGATTCCTGCAAGGTTTAGTTTTATCCTTATATTTCATGCTCGTCATCAGATGGTTGACCCTTCTGCTGTCCCAGGAGTTTGACCTCCCAGATGTCATCCGGGTATGGGACTCCCTCTTTGCCGACACAGACCGCTTCAGTTACCTCATCCAAGTGTGCACTGCGATGATGGTGTATGTGTCTCCCTCAAGGCATTTTAGTTTTGTATGCTTTTCTCTCATGCTGTTATTATTATTATTTTTGAACATTGTTTGTCGAGAGTTTCCTTAGTATTTCTTTTTCCTGGTCATGTGAAGTGAGATCTATATTGACAAAGCCAAGCACTTTTATTGAATTGCATAATTAATTGGCAGGACACAGCGAGATGTTATGATGGAAAATGACTTTGCTGGTAATATGAAAATACTACAGGTGAGATTTACAACTTTGTTTGGTTGAAATATAGTATGGAAATATAGTACTGTAATATTACTATAATGATAAATGACATTGATAACACTTCTTGTTTTTATTATTGAAAATGTTAGATATATATTTGAAGGTTATTGTTTTATTTTATTATTATTATTTACTCAATTGTTATTGCTGTTTTTACTCTTATTATTTATAATAAAAACAATATTTTATCTTTTTTTATTTAGATTATTATTATTATTATGTTTATTGTTTCTATGATTATTATTATGCCACTAGGTATACCACTAGGCCTGTTATTGCTATTACTGTTACTACTAGGGCAATTACTATCATGGCTTTTAGTATTATGCTCAGGAAAGCATGGAAATTAGTGGTGACACCCGCTATATCCTTACCCTAAAACCCGGTCCATTTTTCCATTGCAGCATTACCCTCCAGGCGATATCCAGGTACTCCTGAGCAAAGCCACAGAACTAGTGGAGAGCAATGGTGAGGCGGGGATTGGCACCGAGGCATCGAGTTGACATTTCCGATCTGCATCTTACGAGGGGCCCTACAGCGGCACTAGGGCTATGATTTAAGTCGAGCAAGAGTAGTTATCTGATTCATTTCTTTTTTCTTATTAGATTTTTTTTTTTCTTTGTTCCTCTTTATAATATTGAGCAAAAACTGAAAGTTCTCAGATGGTGTTGTGATGTAAGATACACAAATGGATTTTTAAATTTTTTTTTTTTATACATTTTATTACTATTAATGTTATAGTTTTATTTTTTTTATTGGAAAATTATGTTTAGAAGGGGACTGATCATTGTAGTCACATAAAGATATAATAATTTTAGAAAGGGATTTTCTTAATTGGGTTACATGATAGGGGTATTCTTAAATGAGTTACGTGATTAGTGTTAAGTGAGAAGTTTGTCATATCAACATTAACATGCACACACATTCACATACACATGCATGCATGCATGTGATTTAAATGATGGAAAACAGGTACTTTAAACATTTTGTGTCCCTGTGAATGTCATGGAAAGTGTGGTAGGTGGTATTAAAGCTATAACTCCTATATACAGCTCAAAATAAGTTTCTCTGTCACTGGCATCAATGTTTACAGTCAAACATTGCATGTCATGAGGTTAAAATCAACTGTAAAAAAAAAAAAGACATTCAGGAAAGAAAAAGAAAAAATACACTTGATTTCCTAGGATAATTTTTATGCAAGATATATAATAAAGGTGATAATAAAAATAATTTAGATTTTTGGTGTGGGTCATATAATGACAGACCCTTTATAAATTCACAAGGGAATTCTTACTCGTGTCTTTCCAAACAATTAATCGTTTTTGTAAACCATGATAAAAGGGCCATGCGTCATGGCTCAAAATGCAAACGTGTAGGAGTGTATAGAATGTCTTCTTTAGGTGGATGTCATTTGTAAATAGAATGTTATATTTCAGACACAAAGTAACTGTGACATATACATTATATACTAATAATTGTGATATTCAGGGAGATTCTAGATAGTTATCTTTTAAGGGATATTATGAGAAATATCAATCTTTATTGAAGCCTTTTAAAAATAAAATGAAATCAATTTATGAAAGATGAAGTGTCACGATCAGTGAAAGGGAGAAAAGAAAGAAAAAGAAAAACAAGCTGCAATAAGATGATGTCACTGATAAGACATAATAAATGATTATTGTAATTTTACCCAAGTGACATACATTACCAGGCTTCAAGTTGATTGCCAGTCTGTACTTGTGTTTATACATTAACCATACTGTAACTTCAAAAGTATTTGCCAAGTAAGTTAAGAGGTGCTGGTCCACCGTGGATCAGACTGGGCTGTGAGTAACGTAACGATAAGGGATGTTTTGCAGGAGATTAAAAACATTTTTGTAACTGTATGTGACTAAGATTATATAATGTAGATATAAAGGTAGTGCTGTGTGATTTTTAGATTTTATTATTACTTTTTTTCCATTATTATTATTATTATTTAAGTTTTTTTGTATGATCTTTAAAACACTGGTTATGTTACTGCACTATGTTCCCTTCTGTTAATTTTTCCTCAGCTGTAAAATATTTTGGTTGCTGGTTCCTATTTATGTGGTTGCCAGTGGGATACTATATCGTTGATTTACCATTACATTACTTAAAGTATATGAACTGTTCAGTTGTGAAACTGTTTAAGATTTAAATCCTTATATTCTGAGTTACTGAGCTGACTAGTTAACTTACAGTACTTGTTATTAGTATTTTATTTAATATATTTGATTGTGAAACTACTGCTCTGCCTTATTTATTTGATCTCTTCCATGAAGCTCAAGATTGAATGTAAAATCTAGTATTTAGTCGACATTCATTTTTCATTTTTTTCAGCCATCATTGATATCATATAAGTCTTCTAAGTTCTCCTCAGAAGATTGCATTATTTTCAGTCTTCTTTTTCTACTCTGCCTGTAGGACCAACCCATCATTACTTTGATTGACTTTTGTTAACATCATATGTCATTAGACTTGTTAGATACTGTTAGCCAAGCAAGTTGTTAAGTGTCTGTTTCTTGTTCTTGGATGCAGTTGAAAAAAGGGGTGTTCTGAGACAGAGTTGAGAAATTTACTGTGAAAGTTGATTTCTCTTTTGATTGAAATGATTACTATTTTCCTAAATTTCAAATTCAGGCAATCCCTTTTGTTAAAAAACCTGCCTTATAATTTTTGCTTTAATAATAAGATTTCTTAGGATTTTTGGGCTACTTCTAACAGCTTCTTGGAGTCTTGGAAATGCTCAGGCCCTACATGGGTTTATAATGCCATGCATCATGTTAACAATTAGTTCCATATGACATATCTCTTGTTTATATAAGTGTGTGATGTTTCAGTGATTAACACATGAAAGAAGATTTTATTACATTTTTTTCCTGTAATAGAAAATCTGTGCTATTTGCATTGTCATATTTTTTCAGCTTATAAACCGTAAATGGTTCATAAATGGAGATGTTTGTTTCTATTATGATGAATGCAATTTGAAATGTTGATAAGGTTACAAATACTGCTGGAGATGAAGAGCGAGATTGTATAACTGAAACATATTGGTTAGTAGCGAATTACTTACATACTCCTCTTGACTGGAGGTTTGGTACTTACTTTGTGCTCTTCAGTTTAATTTTCAGTTCAAGTCACAAGAGTTCAAATATTTGCTCTGGAATACCATTAAGGACCAGAAACATTAGTTTAACCTTCCAGTGTACAATGCAATAACTGTGTGGTTGCGTTGCGCATGAGGACGAGTTCATAATACTGCACAACTTGCAACTCACTAGCTGATCACAATAATGTACTCAGACTCAGGTCTACGATGCTAGTATAGAAGAGAAAAAGCAAAAGCCTAATGTTAAAGCAAAAATGAATGAAATGGAAATAAAAAACTTAAACATGACTCTGTGATGCTTTACATTTAACAAAGTGCAAGGGAATAAGCTGAGGCCATTGTACTGAAAAGAGAGAACCTCAAATAGAAAAGTTTTTTTAGTAACTGTACAACTATTTGTATTTTTGATAGGCATGTAATGTATTTCTAACTATTTTGAAATGCTTTAACTCAAGGTCACACACACACACATATATATATATGGAAAAGAAGCAATTGTATATATGGTGTAGGTTAACAATTAAAATTACCTAATATAAAAAGTCAAAGATGCTCTTAGGTGTCTGATATGTGTATAGATTGTCTTTGACTTGACTGTATTAATTTTCAAAGTATTTATGTATATGCAGGTATTTGTTATATTCTTTATATATACACTGTACATTCGGTATATATATATATGAAATTCTTGCAGACAGTTTTGTTTAAATTATTTGTGTGAATCTTTTTATGGGAATATGTACTCTATATATAATAACCTGAAGACAGTTTAGAAAAATTGTACCCTGAGCAATAATGTGATTTGTTACAAAGGTCTGAAGAGATACAGAAAAGGTTAGTCGTTTCTATAACAATTTTCTAAACAATATACGTGATGAATTACAACTGCGTGAAGGTACCTGATGAAAGTTTTATCAGACTTAATTTAATTGAAAGGATGCTTGCAGAAATGTTGATTTGATGGTATAATTATTTAGTGCAGCATCTTTCATAAAATGGAAACAGATTTTTGTCTTATGTAATATAATAATAAGTCCTAGATTTTGATTAGTGATAGGTATATTCTGTTGATTATGCTGTAGCGGAATTAGTCATATTTTTGCAAAGATATAGTTACCAGTGTTTATATATGAAAAATATTCCTAATCAATAGTTGTCATAAATAACTCAAAAGTATTTAAAATCATAAAGCACAACTTGTTTCTTTTTACAAGAACTGAAAGCTCAGCTGCCAGCGTTATGTAGATCTTTTGCTGTAATAAGCATTTAGTTGGAATAAACCTTGAGGAGGCAAAAAAATTTCATATCAAAGTGTTTTAATTCCCTGACTGATTGTGAATAAAACTTGAAGTTTGTTTTTCATAGATGTCAGTGCTTTCTTTGTAGAGGCAAGTTTTATGTTATACAATGTGTTAAGAGTTGCATAAAAGTAGACCACAAAGTGATTCTCGCTTTCATTGCAGTAGATTTTCCAAGCCTTCCAATATCTGATGTGACTAGACTTATGAATGACTATGTAGATAAATAGGAATCAGGTTTAGGTTTTAAGAATATAATGGTGATGCTCTAATGTATAAATAATAAGTAGTGATGTGTAGAAGATATCTATAATCAAGTGATTCAAGGTTCCCAAGTTATTAATGATGTAATATGAAGTATATTTAAACTGTGTATTTATTCAATTTAAAATGCAAAGACATTCCTCTTCAGTTTTATTAGAAAATTTAATGTTGGTCAAAAATGTACATCTATATTTTGAACTAAACTTATCATTGCTAGTGATAAAGTTTGGTATACAGTACTCGATTTTACTTTAAGCTCACCTTTCTGTATTACTGGAGGACTATAGCAACACATAGGAAAGAAAACAGAATTTTATACCTTCCATTCAGTCAATATATATATACATTTTTTTTCAAGAACCAGCCATATTTCAAAGTCAAGAATTAGGAAAAGAGCATTGCTTGTGAAAAAAAGTAAAACAATGATATTTTCAAAACTGATGTTCTTATTTTTCATATTTCCATTTTTTCTCTGCTTTTTGCATTGCTTTAATCCAACTTGTTTATATTTTTTAACAAAAGGTGTTGGAGACAAAAATATAATTGTTTCATGAGTACTGATTTTTTCAAGCTTTGCTAATAGTTAATATAAAATAATAAGCTAGACAGTCTTATAAGGTTTAGCATAATTATATTACATATCAAGTTACTTTCAAAATATTTTTAAAATTGTCAGTCAAATAAAAAAGAATCCTATATAATATAATTACAAATGCATATAACAATTCCAGATTTCTTTATGTATATTTATTATAGCTTTGTAATGTGTATGTTTTATACATATAAAATAACTGCAGTTGAGCAGTTTTATATCAAAAATGCTGTTTTAATAAACTTGCAATTGTTTA